TAATAGTAATTCACTTTTAACTTTAAACTAGGCGAACAATACTTCGCAATTTTTCTACTCTTACTATGCGCTGTTTTCTTTTTTTTCTCTTTGTTTCACTCACTCACGATGCAGCCGTTCCTAAAAACTTTTGATGGTCTTACATTCTCTTCGAGTTCACGAGATAATCCCGAGCATTCGGTCGAAACATTTCTCTTTCACAGCTGTAACGTACCAAGCCAATATATACGTCAATCGTATTTCTACTATTCTTATTAGGATTGTTGTTATTTTAAAAAAGCAAAGAAATATTATCAAAGATGTAATGATATATTGATCGTGATGCAAAAATGTCTTTTCTTATATGAATGATATAATTAATGATATAATTATACGAATAAAATTCCTTCGAATTTTCGAATATTTGTCGAAAATTAGTAATTTTAAAGAAGAACAAAGTGAAAATTTCTCGTTTATTTCAAAAGAAATTTCAATTTTCAAAAAGCGTTGAAAACACGTTTCGATCGAGAAATTTGAAAATTCGATCTTCCTCGAGAACGAGATCTGAAAACGAGAAAATTTCATTCGAATTCTGGAAAATTTAAAGTTTCCTTGTGCGCAAACTTCATTAAACACCATATTGACCGGAATTATTTTAATATTTACGTGTAATTTTCGAGTTTCGAGAAGATATCAATATCCCTGTACAGGGAGTCTCAAATAGGTTAATCAAAGTTCCCTTATAAACACTGTTAATCATATTTCGTAAACTTAATCATCCGTATTATATCTGTCCAATGGGATTTCACTTTCAGAGATATATTACGTCATAAATAAAATAAAATCACGTTTCGCTCAGAATCGCTCTTGACGGTTATTAACGTGCGATAAAGAAGATCTCTTGGAAGAGAGAACAAAAGTGAATTCGTAGTGAATTATTTCGAAAGTTTCTTAACTTTATCATACATAAGATATATTAAAGATTATTTAACAAACGTTCGATTTTATTATTATTAATTTCCAAGTTTTTTTTAAATTTATTTATATATATCCTCTAATCGTCCGATTTATTTCAACTCTTAATTGCTCAAATCAGAACCATTGAAAACATTTCATACAAAGCTCAAATACACAGTTCCACCATCATCTCCAAACTCTGCATTGTCCCAATTTCCAGTTCCTCTCTATTTGACCAGTTACATAGTATATATACACACATACACACATATATATGTATCTAAACGTATATATATATATGTGTATCTAAACGTTGCTTCGTTCCTGGTCTATAATTTCTCATCGAATTTTTCGTTCAATTTTTCGAAATCCAATCGCATAAATATTAAAACTCATTGAAAATCGTACGAATCGTTCAATTATTTTATTAAAATGCGAGAGTGTTTCGTTTGATTGTTTCTTCTAATCTTAACGGAATTTTCTTTCATCCTTGAAATGTTGTACAAATCTTGCTATGTACACTCTGAGCTTCAAAGATTCAGAAGTTTTAAACACATTTTATTAAAAATGGAAAACCGGCGCATGGAATAATATACCGGATACCATTCTCCAAACCGTGAACGTTGTAGATGAAACGCGAACAAGCAACGTTGTCATCCAGTTTACAACAACGTAACCTTTACGATGCTCGATCGGGAAGGAAGTTCGAAAACGCTCGGCCGAGAGAATTCTGCTCGATCGATAAGCGGAGGATCTCTCGTTGAGAAAATTTCATTTCGTCGTAGATTTCTCTTGATGACTCTTTTTCGTGATGGCGCGTTTTCCGCCATTTCCGTTTAACAGAATCTTAACAGAGAGACGTTTAATCTCGAAACGATCGCGCGAAGCGAAATTCTGTTACGTTCGAGTTTCGTCGAATGCAATCGTTGGAATGGCAATCGTCCTGTTAACGTCCTGATCAATCGGCCTTCGAGGACCGCCGTTAATCGTGTATGCAATTTACGGCAATCTTGAGGAATCTGCCCTGGAAAAGGGGAAATTGACCCCTTAGCCGTCGAGAAATTGGTTGGCTCGAAACTTACGAGTTTTTGGGCGAAAGTTTCGGTTGAAAGAAGAAAAAAAAGAATAGTAGCGTTGTTATCGCGAGACTCGATGAGATTCGAGATGAGACTCGTGTAGAACGTTTGCCCTTCCAACAGAGTTGACGAGGATTTTACTTTTGAGGATTTCTTTTAATTTCACGGATATTTTATCGTGAAAAGGAATTGAGAATCTTGCGCAAGGATTTTTTGAATTATTGTAGAGCTAACGTGTCGTGTCGCGATGTATGAGCTGCGAAAATAATAATGAATTCAACGAAAGAAACCAAGAGGCCAACTTTCCACACGTTTTAACTTTTCGAAGCTGTTGTTATTGTTATTATTTTTTTGCTCTCTCGTATCAGTTTATCGAATAGTTAAACTTCGAACTAACCAACTAACGACGATTCTTTCCACTTCTTACACTTTTAATCGTTTTAGGATTTACTAAAGGGATTTACTTAGGTTTTACTAAACGAAGTATCGGTTCATCGAACGAGATTTTTTCGAATTTATTGCAATATTTATATTTATATATGCGGTTAAAAATTATATTCAAAAAGTTGAGTTTATCTGCAAATCTATTTTACCTGTTCAAATTCGATTACAAAAATTTTTATACAACGGGATAAAGATTTTTATTATATTTTCCTTAATTAATTCTATTAATCAATATTTATATCAAATTATATGAGTTATAACACAATAATAATAATAATAATATAGTATTTCTTCAAAATAACCAAGAAATTCATCTCAACGAGTTTGTAACGATAATAAAAGCAGCCATAAAACTATATATATATAATAAAAACAGCCATAAACTATATATAGAATAATAATAATGTCAAGATATATATATATAATTTGCACAACAAAATTGTCCACGATATAAACTACAAGTTTCTCCCCATCTTGAAGCGTATAACGACGGTGCATTTTATTAACTGACCCGCATCGCGCCCAGTTTCGCAATTCGTCCCGCCCCATTGGGAATAGAGACGGTTGAGGAAGCGTGAGAGGCATTTGAATCGATCTAAATATCCCATCCGAATCATCATTCGATACCTGTCCAAGCATTCCACGCATTTTCAAACGCTCTTCTTTTTTCTTTTTTTTTTTTCTTTTTTCTTAAGTCACGCTCTACGTGTATCAATATTCCTAGTGACGCTAATAGCGTTGCAGTTTCCGTTCAACACGACGCGTATCGATCAATCTGCCAAGGATCGATTGGCAAGCTGAACCGGAATAGACGCGTTAATGGAGGATAAAAGAACGTTTGCTTCTTCTTTCTTTTTTCCCCTTCCCCTTTCTCACTCTTTCTCTCTCTCTCTATCTATCTATGTATATATATCTCTCTTTTTTTTTTTCTCCACGAGGCCAATTAGAAATCGACGAGTACCGACGGTCGATAAAATTGATGCGCGCGGGATTTCGAGAGGATGATATTGAATAATGACTTTGAAACGTCGAAAGTGGAAGTGGAAATACACGATATATATTTCTATATACGTGTGTCTGTGTGTGCATGTATTTTGGAGTCAGATTTTTGGCAAATTTGGCAGAATTTTGACGGGTCAAAGTTTCAATTTGAGGTTATGTATGGAAACGTATAGTTAGAGTTAGAGTACTCGCGGTGCGGAGCAGGGAGCTATTTTCAGACGGTTGTGTCACTTTCAACGTTATCGATTTGAAGCGGAATGAGATTAGAATAGAAATGGAAATTGGAATTTCGCGGGGGTCAATTAGAAATTGACGAGGATTGCAGCGACCCGTTCGAATATGCGCAAAATTGCCAGTGTTCACAATGGGAATATATATCGCGATGAAATTTCATCAAACGTGAATTTCTCGAATCGGATGTATATTTCGTGATTAAATTTTTTTTTAAGTACAAATATTTTAAATATCTTCGTGTAATTCGATATTGATATAATTTTTTTTTATTTTTTAGATAATTTCGAAGGGACAGGGAATCGTAATTGGCGATTAAATTACAAATTATTTTGTCGATTTGACAAATTTGATTTCGCAATTCGCAATGGCGTAAATGGCTCTCAATGGCTCAAATCTGAACGAGCGACATTGTGAAGATGTCAGTACAATATCGATATCGTCATTTGTTAATTGATCTCAGTTTTAACGATTTAAAATAAATTGATAAATTTGAATGAGACGGAAAAATGAACATTTAACACTGTTTTTCCTTCTTTCTTTCTTTCTTTTTTCTTTTTTTTTTTCATTCTTGTTTATTTTCGATCGCTTCTTCAAATTGCTTTTATCGAAGTTTGTCATTCGAAGAATATCACTTTTCGCACAGCTTTAAAGTTACTTCGCGAAAGGGATATCGTTTGAATAATAGCTTTCGTGTTTTTTTCTTCTTCTTCTTCTTTTTTAAAATTCCCTTCAACTAGAAATATCACGTACACGCAATAAATATCTGTTCGTTACAAAAATATCGTCCAAGAAATTCTTAACTAAGAAAAACTTAAAATTTGTCTCGAATCTTTTCACGATCAACTTTCATTGCTCAAAAATCTTCTCAAAAATACCTCGTTTATTATTAAATTACACGCGTAATAATACAATAATTCGAGCAACGCAACGCTTTCCAACCCGATCACCTATCATCGATTCTCCTCATTAATCAAAGCTTACCTGGTATGGGTGACAGGTGGACGTCTCGACCCAGGTGGATCTGCAAGCCGGTTTCGTGGCGCCAGCGGACAGTATCAGCATCGACTGGGATCGTAGAGCGACCCCCCTTTACTCTCGAGAGGACATCAAAGAACAGTATTGCATAACCAGCCGGCAATTGGACGCGGTCGAGAAGTCTGGGGGTGGGTTCTTCGGCTGCCTGTCGACCAGGGGCCCGTCGCCGTGCGCCTCTGCTAGAACCTCGATCCTCTCCGCCTGCGTGAGGAGCGTGCCCAGCGATGAGAACCTCTGCGACGCCCCCTACCCCCGCCGATCCCTCCAGATCATGTATCGTCAACCTTACCCGACCTACTCGAGGGGTTTCTCTCGTTACGATTTGGAGGACGAGGCTGACTGGATCGAGAGTTCCTACTTCAGGCGCAGACCGAGATCCTTCTGCACCGTGCCCGATCCGAAAAGGTGAGTAGTTTTAGACTTTGCCTAAAATTTAATAGTTGAGTAAAGTTGATTCGATAATTTATTGTTCGGCATAATTAATAATCAGAAGTAATTATAACTATCGAGGTTGTGCGAAAAGTAGATCTATAATAGCTACGAAAAAATTATTTTTAATTTTTTCAATTCGGTTAATGCCCAACTCTGGTTGTTTTGTTTATTGGTAACGAAAATGAGTAGTTTCAGGTTTTGCCTAAAATTTAATAATTGAATAGAGTGGTTTCGAATAAGGTTTCTTCGATAATTTATTGTTCAACGCGTAATTAATAATCGAAAATGATGTAAACTGTCGAGGTTGTGCGAAAAGTAGATCTATAATAGCTACGAAAAAATTATTTTTAATTTTTTCAATTCGGTTAATGCCCAACTCTGGTTGTTTTGTTTATTGGTAACGAAAATGAGTAGTTTTAGGTTTTGCCTAAAATTTAATAATTGAATAAAGTTGATTCGAATAAGGTTTCTTCGATAATTTATTGTTCAACGCGTAATTAATAATCGAAAATAATGTAAACTGTCGAGGTTGTGCGAAAAGCAGCTCTATTATAATAGTTACTATAAGAGTCCAATTCTAGTTGTTTTGCTTATTGGTAACGAAGATGAATAGTTTTACCTAAAATTTAATAGTTGAGTAGAATTGATTTGTTCTGATTGTTATTGGTAACGAAGGTGAATAGTTTTAGATTTTACCTAAAATTTAATAGTTGAGTAGAATTGATTCGATAATTTATTGTTCAACGTGTAATTAATAATCGAAAATAATTGTAAATTGTCGAGATTGTGCGAAAAGCAGCTCTACTATAATAGCTACTATATAGCCTGTTTGCTTATATTATATATAATAACGAAGATAAGTAGTTTTAGGTTTTGCCTAAAATTTAATAGTTGAGTAAAGTTGATTCGATAATTTATTGTTCGGCGTAATTAATAATCAGAAGTAATTATAACTATCGAGGTTGTGCGAAAAGTAGATCTACTATAATAGCTACGAAAAAATTATTTTTAATTTTTTCAATTCGGTTAATGCCCAACTCTGGTTGTTTTGTTTATTGGTAACACAAAGCTGAGTAGTTTTAGGCTTTACTTAAAATTTAATAGTATTAAAATTTAATAGTTGATTCGAATAAAGTCATTTCAATAATTTATTGTTCAATGCGTAATTAATAATCGAAAATAATTGTTGAGGTTGTGCAAAAAGCAGTTCTATTATAATAGCTACTATAATAGCCAATTCTGGTTATTTTGCTTATTGATAACGAAGGTGAATAGTTTTAGGTTTTACCTAAAATTTAATAGTTGAGTAGAGTTGATTCGATAATTTATTGTTCGACGCGTAATTAATAATCAAAAGTAAACAGTCGAAGTTGTATGAAAATAGCTACGAATAAATTATTTTTAATTTTTTCAATTCGGTTAATGCCCAACTCTGATTGTTTTGCCTATTGGTAACATAAGATCGATGTATGGTTTCGTATAACGAGGAGTATTTGAGCGATGAAGGTCAATACCTATCGCCTGGGTTCAAAGAAGGTCGTGTGATTAAGTTGTTTGTGCGGTAAGTTCGTGTGATAATCCTTTATATAAGCGTTCTGTTGCTCGGAGACGATCTTTCGAACATAATAATTGTTTAAGTTTTAGCGTATCTTTACCTGTATCCGGTTCAAATAGTGCAAAGTTGATACATTTTAAGAGGAAAAGAAAGAAAGTCTTCTGAGATTTTTCTATCGGTAAGGTCATTTACCTTGTCGTTCAAAATTCTTTTTGCGTTTTTCAGAAATCGATCGTCAAATGATTTGATATTATTATTACACTTTTGCATTGGATATTAATTCGAAAAATATTTTATATCGAAGTAATGATACATGTAAATCTTTTTGATCCAGGCCAAGTGGGCCGATACTTATGGAGTTTAGATAGTACATATGGAAGTGGATTGGAAGATTATCAAGGCGATAGAAATTAAATGGACGAAAGCCTATTTAGGATTGAAGTAATATGCTTTACGCTGTTTCATGGATTATTTCAAGTTGGAAAATAGCTCGAGCGATTCCGTCATTATGAGACGGCAGGATGCGACAAAGTGTCTCAACTTGATTTTCGCTTATTCCTTCCAAGATGTCGTTCAGATCTTCGATTAAATTATGGTAATCCAAGCGACATTATCTCAAATTGAGAAATTCACCCTGAGATCCACGAACTCGGAATATACTTTTTGAAAAGTTATCGAATGGAATTAACAACTCGAAGAGATTGAGAAATGAAAGGAGAATTCTTATGAATGACGTGACACATTAAAATAAGAAACATTTTCGAAGAATCGATTATGATCGTTTTTTTGAAAAATTGGGAAATTCACCCTGAGATTCACGAATTTGGAGTATATTTTTTGAAAAGTTATCGAATGGAATTAACAACTCGAAGAGATTGAGAAATGAAAGGAGAATTTTTATGAATGACGTGACACATTAAAATAAGAAACATTTTCGAAGAATCGAGTACGATCATCTTTCAGAAAAATAACTTTGGAAATATATGTAATCATACATATATATGTAATCATATGACACACGTGTACATAGAATTAATTTTCGTCAAAAATAATCATTTCGACGTAATTTTTCATTTCCTTGCAAAAATTTTTCTTTATATCGAATATCGAGCGACAGACATAATTGGGTTTCGTCAAATTTTTTTTGTTCGATTGTAATTTATCATTAGAATTTTTTCCAGGAAAAAATTAAATTAAACAACAAAAATTCCATCGATCATTTCCACATTATTCTAGCTACCTTTTCATTTATAACCACGGATTTAATCCCTGACGTGCTCGCAGCTGTCACGAGTTGACGTAGTACGTTGACCAGCCTCTGACTGGTCGCGTTCGCGTTAAAAAAAAAAAATAATAATAACAGTAAAAAAAATTAAAAAAGTATAAAACCCAGAAAAAAATCGAAATATATATATATAAAAAAAAAAAAAAAAAAAAAAGAAAAACAAGAAAAAAAAGGTAAAAAAGGAAAAACCCCAAAAAAAAACCAAAAAAAGTAAAAAAAAAAAAAAAAAAAAAGAAAAACAAGAAAAAAAAGGTAAAAAAGGAAAAACCCCAAAAAAAAACCAAAAAAAGTAAAAAAAAAAAAAAAAAAAAAGAAAAACAAGAAAAAAAAGGTAAAAAAGGAAAAACCCCAAAAAAAAACCAAAAAAAGTAAAAAAAAAAAAAAAAAAAAAGAAAAACAAGAAAAAAAAGGTAAAAAAGGAAAAACCCCAAAAAAAAACCAAAAAAAGTAAAAAAAAAAAAAAAAAAAAAGAAAAACAAGAAAAAAAAGGTAAAAAAGGAAAAACCCCAAAAAAAAACCAAAAAAAGTAAAAAAAAAAAAAAAAAAAAAGATCGCGTTTCTCGACAGTGACAAACGATAAAGAAGGAAAGATTCTTACCGACTCGTGGACCGCTCGTAATTGGTTAAATATCGTATGGGAAAATTTAACACCGTGCCGTTTGCTGCATAACGACGATAATATTCGTCTGTACGTGAAAGTGGTTCACCGCAGACCGATGAAATATCTCATCGTTCACGGTGCCGCGATTCGAAGGCGCAAATATATTCCGAAACGGTGGCAGAGAGGAATTAAACCAGGTGGAACAGGGACGGTAAACTGCACGGTATATCCCCGGTAGAATCTTAAGAAGGATAGCAGCTCGCTAAGTTTCGCTTCCTTTCCTTTCCTTCGAACTTTCACTCGCGCGGCTCCACTCGAACGAAACTTCGTTACGGGGCCGATTTTCGCGAGGGAAAACGAGGGTTTGACGGCGTGTTCAAGGGGGTTCCGTTTATTTCTGATTGCTGTCGCGTAGAAAGAGAGAGAGAGAGAGAGAAACCTTGGTTGGCGTTGCTTCAAGGCCGTGGCCGATCGATGGAAAATTATGTTCCCCGAGCGTTCTACGCTGTATTTAGACATTGGTTACGCGTCGATGCGAAAAAGTGCGGAAATAAATGCAGACACGTGACCGACATCGATTTTTTTTTCTTTTTTTTTTTTTTTTTTTTTTTTTTTTTTTTTTAATTGTTGCGTGAAGCGTAGAATCGAATGGTGTATTTATACTTTGCAATCGGTGAGTGGCGAAGGATAGATTACATTTGGATGGATTCGTAAATAATAATAATTAGATTTTGTTTATACTGTTTATATTTCTTATTATTTAGAAAAAAAAATTCTATATTTCGATATCTGGCAGCGATGGTATCTCCATTTCTTCGTTTCTTCTCCGTGAATGGTAGCCAATACAGTTTACAGCACAATTTATATCATTTTAATACAATAAAAAATTCGAATAAAGTGAAGAATAAAATGTTGTAAAATAAATAAATTAAAGCTAGAAAGAAAATTTTCGTTAAATTGATCTTTCATTTTTCTAACCTGATTAGAAAAGTAACCAGTTAATCTGTTCTGCATATTTTCTCTTTACATTAGATAGGAATGCAGCAACGATGTAGAGGAGGAAACGACGTAATTATCTGTTATTTTCAAATAAAATCGATCGAAGAGAAGAGCATAAAAACCTGCAAAACGACTTCTTATTTCCCCGGCATAAAGCTTTCTTAAGCGGATGTGGTAATCTGTAAAGCGACTTGTTATTTTTTTTAAACGAACCTTTCACGACAGAATGTAAAACCGGCTGCACATTTCCTCAAAACAAGCCTTCCTCGAAAGAAACATTAAATCTCACGGAACAATGAAAAAAGCAAAGCTATCGTATCTAACGTTAACGTTGCCCTAATAAAATCAATATCTTCCTCTTTCAAAAAAAATTACAACGACGTCTCTCCTTAATCGTGAAATTAATTCTCGCCAACTCGAGGAAAAATTAAAATGGCGACGAAAGAAGAACACGAGATTAACTGAATTTAAAAAAATTAAAAACGATCCACATATTAAGGACAGAACGAAGATTTGTGAAGCTTATGAAGATAAGCATGGATTTTTTCAACAACTCGAGTATTTTCAAATTTCTAATAATAATAATAATAATTCATAATTGCTTTTCCAGATCCAAATCTTAAGAGATCCAACCCTCTCTTAATTTGCATTTTCACGTAAAATAATGATTGGAGGAAAAACAAGGCAAGGGGCGACAATCTTCTAGATCAGATCAATTAAAATGGAATAGAATAAAACAGAATCCAATGATACAACAACGATACAGTTCTTCGCATCGGAGTCAAAATCATTCACAGTCGTCGTTCACTCGTAACATAAATAATCTCATAATACAATTTTCTTAGTAGATGACAGATCCTAGAAGTAACAGCATCAGTTCAATTAACCATATTCGAAGTCTCATTTAAACTTTCGATAAAAGCCAGGACAAAATGTTAGCTCTTCCACCGACAGAATTAAAAATGGCGAATTAAAAAACGTAGAATCGTCTCTTGATCGCGAAATTAATTTTCACTGTACTCTTCCGATGCAACGATCCAACAGGTGTCGCGGAAGAACGTTTCATAATCGCGTGACAATGCCGTTAACGATCTAAAGAAACCGCGTCGCGCTTTTTTACCAACGGACGACATTAGGACATGGAAGGACACGCGGTTTAATTAACCGATAAATAGATTTATTCCGGATTTCCTTTCTTTTTTTCCTCTTTTTTTTTTTTTTTTTATTTGAAATACAACATTATAGATATCGCCACGCGCTCATACATTCTCGTTTCCATTGTTGCCGGGCAGAAGGCGATCCTCACGTGTGACAGGCATTATCTTAGGGGAAAAGTGGGTGACGCCAGCCGTTGCTTCTGCGACGGTGCAACAACGACCCAGATAAATTGCATTTAGTCCCCTGGCTGGCTCTCGAGGGTGCCGTAATAACACCGACGATCATACCTCTCTCTCTCTCTCTCTCTCTCTCTCTCTCTGTCCTTCCTGCTCTTTCCAATGTAAATTTTCTCTTCTCGTTTCCTCCATCTTTGGTCCAATCGAGGGATACGCAGTTTTATTCGTATTTATTCGTATTTTATTTTCCTTTTATTAGGCTTGATCAGAGCGAAAGTTAATTTTCGGATAAGGATTAATTTTGTTCCAACTCGAGTCTTTCTTCTTCTTTTTTTTTTTTTTTTTTTTTTCAACTGTTTTCTAAAACTTCTCTCTTCCCGTACGCCTCGCTTTGATCCAATATTTGTGAAACAATATTTGACCAGCCCGCTTTGTTTTTCTTCGACGTTAGGATATATTCAGTTGTCTTCTTCACAAAGGTGCGTCTTTTCTTCTTTCAGAGGTGTGTTTGTTGTCTCTTAAAATATCCTAGTCCCCCTCCCCGCCCCCTTTTTTTTCTCTTTTTTACGTCTTTGAAGCATAGGGAAAGCATTTGCGGCGTGTCGTGACGCTGTTGCTTCAAAGAAATGCCGAGATTCATGCATCCTATATACGGAAATCATAGCGACAATCCAGATTACTCGCGTTACATTAATTAATCATTCATTTTCTTTTTCAATGATAGATTAATTGGGGATGATCAAAGATTCATTGATTAGAAACAGATAATTCTGATTTTTTGAAAGTTATCCATCTTTGGATATACAAAGTTTACAAATTTAAAAGTGATACATTATTTTATTATTATTATTCTTCTTTTTTTTTATATTGCTTCCTCGTGACAAAACAGATTTTCCCTTTTTCCCTTTTAATTATATTAGAAAGTTCGATAAACGATTATGAGAATCGAAAAATTGCAGGCCAGTTAATAGTTGACCAGAATTGGAGCATTAACTTCGTTGAAAAAGTAACTAGTTAAAAATCTCGAGCAAAGTTATTTCGAGTTATTATATATTATACTCGATCTCGTTTTTCACGTGATCGTTCTCCACTACAATTATTTTATGATTATTATTATGTTTCGAACGATAAATTATTAAATTATTAAATTTTCGCTGATAGATACAACGATATATGTTACACGCACAATTGCAAAACGAGATTGAACAAATAATCGAGAAAAGATTCGAAAAAAAGGAATATAATTTTATTTAATATTTAGGGAAGGGATGGAAGAATGGTGTACGAGATTTTCTCTTTTTCGTAGATACACGTGGCTTCCAGAGGACGAGGAGTCGACGAAGTTGGAGGGTCCTCGGCCGGTGTTGCCCCCGGCGCCGCCCCCGCCCGCGTCG